GTCATAAATAATAACTAGTTGTAAAAAAAATCTAAACTGATTTTGCTCAACATGGGTAAGTAAAGACTAAAATATACATTATTAGTGCAAATTATTTCATAGAGCAGTTTTTTTTAGTTAATTAGATTTATTGTCAAGTAAGCTAAAAATTAATTTCATAAAAAAGCATGAAGACTTAAGTTTAACTTTTTTTCTTTCTTAGTTTGTGTCTTAATCTATAGTATTTGATGGTTAAATTATAATATGATAATAGTAACCTTCACATCAATTAATATTATTTGAAGCTAAAAATCAAAAATTACTTAATTTCTAAAAGAAACTACCTATATAATATGTATTATATATATTATGTATATATAGGTTTATAATATTACAATATTATGTAATAAGATACTATATGTATATATTTTGTGCTCTTTAGAGTGCATAAATGCATGCATATTTAGTATATTTTAAACCACATAAGTTCTAAGCTCTGCTTTTTACCAAAATTATTTTCTTCTAACTAAAAAAAAGCAAAATATACATGCATACCTCCTTAAAGTAGAGAAGCTGCGTTCTGCTGATGCGATACTTACTGGTAATGTTGCTAATACTACTGATAGCACCTGTTATGGGAAGAAACAGGAGACTGGTCAGGATTAAATAAAGTTTAAACACTTAAGACTTCGGTCAGTTAAAGTTTATTACTGAATTAATTTATTAATTTGCCCGGAGGACACGGTGACCGAAACGGCGTCACCGGTCGCTTAGCAAAATAAAACAAAAACTAATATACGGGTTCGGAGGTACGCGGCGGCGTGAAGGCGTCGATGGACCTTTAACAAGCAGAGCTCGATTCACTCGACTATCTGCTGTACCATGATAAAATAAACAGGTATGTCAGCAACTTACGGTTATTATGCGAGTTTGCGCAAAGATGGCGTCCGCTGTTCGCCGCTTTTCATTGGCCGAAGTGTTATCATTTATCATAGTAATATGATTGTCAAAATCATCAAATTATTCATGATAAGGTGAAATAAAATTTAAAAATGTAAATTGTAATTCATTAAACCATAGACATAATATATTATGTCTATGCATTAAACTATTAAAGTATTACAATATTAAATAGTTATTGAATAAATTATATCGACAACTGTCACAATGGGGAAACGAAAAAAAAGTCCCGGAAAAAAAGTACCCGGAAAAAGTCTCGGGGGAAAAAAAGTCTTGGGGCAAAAAAAGTTTATAATACTAATGAAATATACAATTTGGAATATTTAAAATAAAACTTGGGTATAATATATAGTTTTATGTTACATCTAATATACGTTAGTTAGGCGTGAAAACCTGTAAATAAAATTAGGAATAAGTTTACTATCATAAACCAGTTATAAATTTCAATTGTACAGTATTACACATATGGTTGGACAAAATCATCCAACAATTTGGAAACTAATAACTAAAATAAGATATGAAATAGCTGCAGATCGCACAAAATTAGCTTTAAATGAACTGGGTGAGCAATCAATAAAAAGGAAAAAAAGAAAATGGAAATAAGATTAAATGCTTTATGCACTCGTTTTAGAGAAAATAAAATTGAACTTAAAGATTTTTTAAAAGCTATAGCACAAAATATTAAGTTACATTGATAATACAACTAGGATTTTTAAAATTATATAATTTTTTTTCTATTCTATTCTGACATCTATAACTTAATGGTATAGATATTTATATTTTTTTAATAATATTTTGAACTAAGATTTAATGAGATATTTTTTTTATAATTTTTTGATTATTATATATGTTTATTATTATAAGAATTATTACTATTATAACTATTCAATGAGATATTCTTTTTATATATATATATATTATTATAAGTAATAGTAGTTACTTATTATATGATTACATAATTATTAGATATTATCTTTAGAATACAGACTTTTTAGCCCCAAGACTTTTTTTCCAGGTACTTTTAGACAAAATTACAAATTTACCATTGGATGTGATACAACGTTTGATCCGCACAAGAACTTTTATTCGAATGAATAAACTTAATAATGCTTTGTTACATAATTATAATACTGTAAAGCAAAATAATAAAAATAAAATACAAAAGTTCATAACTTAATGAAACAAACTTAAGTAATATTGTAATTATTGTAATTAGATATTACATACCCCACTTCATGGATAACCATAATTTTTGCATACGACATAAGTTATGTTAAATATATTATTGAATGGTTAAAGAGCTAAAATAAGATCTTTATAATATTAAACCCTATGTAATATTTATTAGACAATCAACTAATAGCGATTAGCAAGATTTAATATTATAAACATGATAAAATAATATCTTTATATTATCCACCTTGGTCCATATTGTAAATTTATCATGGCTTATGGGAGATATTACGATAAATGATTACGTATATTTGATAATACGCGCAAGCCAGCCGCCATATTGTGCGCACCACAAAGTTGCTGACATACCTGTTTATTTTATCACGTGCTGTACAACGGACTACTGACTGGACGGGCCGCCGTCACGGTCCGTGACGGTACAGTGAGCCCGAGGCGCAGTGTGACCAATCTAGGGCACACAGTGCCTCAGCCCTTACAATACATAATACAATTTTCTGGGTGCTAACACTACTAAACCCTGTCTAATTGTAGGAAACATGACTCGATGACATTCATCAATAGATTCCAATACATCTTCTGGTATTTTAAGACCTTAAAATAATTTTAAATAAAAAATATGTGATTTTTACCAATCAATATGCAAATTGTATTTAATAAATTATTATTAACCTTCATTTTTACTGGAAATCCAATTTGATTTCCATAAATCAACTTCTCCTTTTAAAATTTTAATGTTTATATCCAAAAATATAAAATGTTCAATTACTGTATCAATAATTTTTTTGACATTGAGTGAAGACTTGTTGATCGTGTTAGCTGGAATAAATTCAATCAACTGAAAAATAGCTGTTGTTTTTTTATTTAGGAATCTTGATCTCAAGTCTTCTAAAATATTGTTAATTAGGGGAATGTACACAACTCTCCGGTAATATTCCTCTGGTGTATTTACTGGAGTATTGTCTCTTTTATTTTGAATTTTTGTTAATCTTGGTAACTTGACTTCAATGTCTAAGTCAATCATTTTAGTTTTAGCTTCAAGAAATATTTCACTAAAATATTCTTCAGCATTTAATCTTTTATCTTCTAAATTTTGTACTATACTGGTAATACAGCAGAAAGCAGCACTTACATCTAAATTAACTCCTTGTAACATTTTACTGGCTGGTAGTGTAATACTGAGGATATTTGATAATATATACAATGTTATAATTAATTCACAATTGCACAAACTCAGGAGTAATGAGTTAGCTTTAGATGATGAAAATTGATCTGCCCATTGAGATATATATGTTAGACTTCCTATAATTTCTGACAGGTTGGTTTCAAAGTCTATTATACTAGTGTGACGTTCTACCCAACGTGTAACACACAAACTGGTTAAGGATGTCTTAGAACTTTTGGAATTTTTAAGGTTATTTTTCAAGATGAAATTCCTTTTGGAAGATAAATGAAAAAATGAAATGGTTTCTTGGAGAATTCCCATAGTATTTCTAGCAATTTGGACTTTCGAAGATTTAGAAATTGATAAGTTTAGAGCGTGATAAGTATATTAGGCTGTATATAGCATTTGGACAGCTTTTCTGGACTTCTTGCTCCTCTTAACACTGACGTCATTACAGAACAACCATACGTGGAAATTCCTATACAGTTTTTAAGGTTAAGTGACATTTCTTTTAACTCTGATACTACTATATTTCATCAGACTTATTAAAGCGAATATATTCGGTCATGGGCCACGTATTGTCATACATTCTCGATCCTGCGGTAAAATATAATAAAATAATTTTTTTGGAAGATGAATTCGTTTTGCTTACAAGTATGGTGTATAAAGGAGAGCATGTGTTAGAGTCCAAAAAAACTAACGGATGTAGAATTTTATCGAATCGAAGAGATCTGATGACAATTCAAGATTTAGAGTGGGCCATCTTCGAAACCATATCGAGAAAAATATATATTGTGAGACCTATTATTTTAAACCAACTCGATCAAATATCCGAATTCTTTAAAACCGATTTAAATATTGATAAATTCGCGTCATCGGAAGAAGTAAAAACAATAATTAAAGGAATTCATATCGACTTAATTGCAAAGCATGTACCGAAGAACAAACATAGTTTTATAAACCAGATCAAATTATTCGCAACTGAATAGCTAGCAATCAATTGGATGACAAAGAATTCGATAAAAGTAAGAATATATATATTATTTATAAGAAAAAGTATTTAAAATTTGAATTCAATTAGGTTGTTGATGAAAATGATGATGATGAACTGCTGAGATTTCTCCCGCCTACCCAGATGCCGCTAGAGGTAATATTATACATTTTTTTTAATACGATTAGGGGAAGGCGGGGCAGAACCGTACTACTAACTTCTAGGCGTTGTAGAACTTACAACATTTTTTTTTTTTAATTTTAACACGTTGACCGCCATGTGCCCGCCAGCGGTCACACTAACTAGAAACTTATAACTGCTTTTGTGGTCGCCGGCTGTCAAACTACATTATAACATCCACGCCATGTGGACGCGGGCTGCCATATTCTTATACATTTTTAAACGTGAATTTATACTGTGGCGTTCAATGAATCGTGTATATTATTACATCATGGCGTAGAGAAGATAATAACACATCGAATGGTATAGTTTTTAATATGATTGGACGATTCCATCATACTAAAAAAAATATTTTTTACCAACATGTTTTAAATCTAAAAATCATACATTATTAATTTTATTTTTTATATTTTTTTTATTATTTATGTAATAGACGTAAAAATTATAGCACAAAATTACAACTGGTTAATAAAAATTAATTTTTGAAAATAATATTGTTCCTTTTAAAATAAAATAAAATAAAAATAAAATATTTCAAAATTGTGTTACCTAGTTAATATGGTGAATATTAAAACAACTTAAGCAAGTATAGATTTTACAAGTAGCACAAAATGTCGAAATCTTCTTTACTTCTCTTGCCTTCACAGATCCCTCGAGACATTTTTGTTTTTCGTAACAATGAGCGCACCTTTTTCGAATTTTCCTGTTCCTTTTGCATTTTTCGGTAGTTTCTTGAAAGATATGTTTCGTAGTTCGTCTTTGTGTCTTTTGTGTTGATGTAGATGTTAGCTGTTCATTTTCATTTGATTTTTTGAGTCCTAATATTTCATCTACTAACGCTTCTCGAAACTGTGTGATTTTCAACTTGTTATTAGGTTTTATTTTATTATATATAAGAAGTGCATTCACAATAGACGTTCCAAACAAAAGTTCAATAGCTACTTTATGGTACCACCTGATAGATTTTCGAACAGAAGAGTTATAACTTGATAGCTGGTCAGACAAGTCTATACCAGCTTTTCCTTTATTATAATCAATTATAATTTGAGGTTTAACAATATTTTCTTTTTTTTATTTATTTTCCCTGTATCTACCATATTGATGTTATGTCGTGTGGTTAACATTGTGACGTCCCTCTTGTCCCTCCATTTAGCTATGACGATCCCATCAATATTTTCCCTTCCAACTATTTCATTTGGTTTTAACTTGGCCTTGGTTACTTCTGGTAATTTAACTCTGTTCGATCGTAATGTTCCTACCAAGTGTGTGTTGTTTTTTAAAAGTTCATATGCTAATGGCACTGAGGTATCAAAATTATCAGTGATTATTGTCCGCCCAGCATTCAAATATTTCTGACTTAAGTTCAACACTACTCTGCATCCTAGACCTTTTCCATCAACTTGACTTTTGTCAGCATATACTTGCACATTATACGTATAGCCATTTGTTCCGCATAACTTGAACAACTTTACACCATATTTGTGCGCTTTTCCTGGTATATACTGCTTAAAAATTAACCTCCCTCTAAAAGGGACCATTGTCTCATCAACAGCTAAATACTCTTCAGGTTCAAGTATTTTTTGAAAATTTTCAATTAACTTATTAATTAAATCGCGCACTTTATAAATCCTGTCGTCATTTGGAGCTTTTCCATTGTCCGAAAAATGTAAAAATCTAAGAATTAATTCAAACCGATTTCTTGACATAGTGTTTTGCGCTACATTATTTTTATATCTTATACTTATACTCCAATAGTCTTCCAAAGTGGGCATTTGAACTAACTCCATCCAAATCATTAATCCGAAAAATTTTTTTATTACCTGTTGATCTGTAGGAATCCATTTAGAAAATCTACTAGATTTTGTCAATCTGTTTTTTGATAAAAATTGTTGGGCATTTTTATTGGTTTCTTCGACTATAAGATCAATTATTTCATTAGTCAAGAATAAATTAAAAATATCCCAAGCTGTAGAATCAACTGATATATCGATTTTCAGTCCAGAATTATTATTAAATTGCAGTGGTTTTTGATAATTGCCAGTTACATTTGTCCAAATTTGTGATGCTACGGAAATATTGCTCGAGGTGCTTGGTTCATTATTATCACTTAGCTCTATAGAGAATCAATAATTATATAAATTATATATGGAATTATGAAAATACCTAATTTGAATAATAAAAACTTAACATAATAGTTCTATAAATATTAACGAAAGAACAATTTATAATTTTTTATAATTTAGGGGACAGTAAAATAATATAAATTTTCTTACCACTTAGGACATCAGACTCCGAAGAACTGACGGGATTGTACGTCTTGTCTGCATCTGAATCATCAAATTCACTTAACAAACTGTCGCTACTGTCTTCTAATAGTTGATTGATAAAATCATCATTTAACTTAACTCGTTTTGGTCGCGAATACATTTTAAATATAATAAATAAATGTTTTTGATAAAAGAATACGCAGCATACGTGACCGCCGGTAGTCAAATGGCGTATAAGTAATAATGCCATTATCACGTGCCCGCCGGCTACCAAACAATGTCAATGCAAAAATAATAATCATGAGACCAAGACAATTACATCGATATCAATTTTATATTTTTCCGTCGAATAGTACTATAAATATCGACGATAACATTTTAGGAATCCCGATGAAATACGCCGTGGCGTCCATAAATAACTTACCAAATGACCGCCGGCGGGCACACGGCGGTCAACGTGTTAATAAGATATATACAATCTGTACCCATTAGGCACAATAAGAATATGTGATATAATATTTTGTACATGAAATCGTGAGGGAAGAAGCCAACCAGTGAAGGCACTACCTAATTGTATTTATAAATATATATATATATATTTTTTTAATTTTTGGATTATTCATTTAGTAAATCACGACACCAATTTCTTTTTAGTCGACGTGTTGGGTTGCCTGGAATTGTGCGAGAAGCTATATTGGATATAAGGGGATTAGGATGAAATGGAAGTCTGTTGTGAAATCTTTTGTAATATGTTATGGCTTCAGCATGAACAGTTTTTATGTTTAGATCTGTGTGCAGAGAGTATTTGAAGACATATGGTGGGGCTTTAGTGATTAATCTTAAAATTTTATTTTGAACGGTTTGGATTTTATTTACAATAGTTACTTTCGCATTGCCCCACAATTGTAGGCCATAAGTCTACATGGGCTTGATTAATGATTTGTATTTGAGAAGTTTGGTGTTTAATTTAGTGTGCTTGTTAGATATTAGTGGTTTAACCGAACGTAGTCGTTCGTGTAGGGCGAGTTTTTTAGCTTTGATATGAGGTCCCCAGGTCAGGCGACGGTCGAAGATTAGGCCTAAGTACTTAACCGATTGGGATGAAGGGATCGGTATGTTATTAAGAAAGACTTCTGGGCAGGGAGGGAGACGAAGGGTGAATGTAGTATGAATGGATTTTGATTGATTGACTTTAACTCGCCATTTATCATAGCAGACAGAAACTTACAACATTTGAAAAATTTGAAACTGGATTGCGTAAATATATCACAAATATTGGTAGCTTCAATAATATTGAAGCATTTTCAAAAAAATTTAAATTGAACTAAAATTTTAAAAGTACTAAAAAATACGATTTTGCCCCATAGGTGGGGTAAAACCGTATTAGTCTTGGGGCAAAACCGTATGTATGGTTTTATGATCTAAAATAGTAGAAATATTTTAGGCACACTTTGCAATACATTTTAATATCCCCCCTCCCCGATAAAAATCCTGAGTAAAGTATTTTGAAATTTTATATTGGAACAAATTAAAAATAATAACTCATTTAACAACTGTTACTTTCACTTTATTATGAACAAAATTTAATTCTTTACGATCTGTAACCTTATATGACAAATTTTTAAGTAACATTTTAACCAAACATGTTTAAATATTCATGTAAGTAACAAAATAATGAAAATAAAATAAACATTGAACTTAATATACTAAAAAACTTAATATTCATGTATAAAATAAGATAAATAGATAGGTCCAAACCTACCAACATTTAAAACAAAACAAAATAATTATAACAAGGAACATTTTAATTTCTTTATAAGATGATATAGGTTCGTAGTTCTTGAACACATAATAGTTTAACAATAAATTTTTAAATATAAGTTTATAATAATAATTATATAAAAGGAACATATTTATTTCTTTATGAGATAAAAAAAGGTTCTTTTTGAACACATTAAATAGTTTAACAATAGGTTCATTAACTGTTCTGCATTTAGAATAAAATTAAATTGAGTATATAATATAATAGACTGTTGGTAACTTATTTTTTACAGTTATCACAGATATAGTTTTTCCAGTTTTCAACATTACCACATAATTCATGCAACCAATTTTCACAAGTTGTGCATTTGATCCATATTTCTCTATTTGTGTTTGTTGTGTATAACTCACTACAATATAAGCACTGCACATCAACATCATTTTTGGAACATGTGGCATGTTTTTTCAAAGTTTTTTTAGTATGGCAAACAGTTTTATTTTCAAAAAGACTTCTTTTGACCGGTTTAAGACATTGTGAATTTTCCAGCTCATTTTTATAAGGGCTGGCTGTTATTATTGCAGTTTTTCCTCTTCTACTGTTACTTGACCTAGAACTTCTAGCAGGAATTTTTGGAATAGGTTGAATCATTTCTGGAGATACATTAAAAGTATTGGTATTTATAATGGTAATATTATCTTGTGACACATCAATATTTACAGAATCATTCAATGGAATATTATATGATGTACTAGTTTCTGGTGCAATATTATAATTAGGTGTTACCATTTCAATTTGATGTGCAGCTACAACATGTCCTGTTGGTTCTAGAATTTGATTTGTTGTTTCAGCGGCTGAAAAATCTGCTGCAGTAAATACTTCTGGGTCATACAGAAAAATATCAGTTTTTTTTAAACCAGAACATTCATTTCTAATATTAGCTGCTTTCATGTATGCTTCTCTAAATATTTTTGATATTTGGTGAAGTCCAACAACACGTAAATCCTGATCGACTTGGGTAGAAAAACGTGAATTGACCCTCCAGTGGCGCCATCCCTCAGCATGCATGTGACGGCAGGACCAAATTTAGTATCCACCTCTTTCATCTCGAGCACGGCATATGGTGTGTCCAGATTGAGATCGCCGATTGATGAATTCACTGTATTCGCTTGATTTTTTAAGGTTTGCAAGAACGCCATAATATACTACGAAAATAATAATAGTTAGATAAAAATAAATTGTCTACACACTTGCAAATGCACGAGCTATTATACTGAAACAGATATTTATTTCAAAAATAAAATATAATTATTAGCGTAAAAATTAAAGTAACTCACTTTGGACGTAATATTATTATGATAATAATAATAGTCAAAACGTCGACGATGGTCGGTAATGTGATGGACGGTGGTGGTGGTGGTGGTGGTGGTGGTGGTAGTACGTCGAGTATGAATTCGTAACTAAATAAATAAAATATTGTCTATAGACACCGTGCATGTGACGGCGCACAGAGCTGTGTAGTGGACAATGCATGCATTCGTTAGGGGTACCATTATAATAATAATATGTGACTAAATGAGCTCTTTTGATCTTTAGTACCACATGATCCAATTTTGTCTTTGTGTTAGGTACTAAAATACTAGAAAAAATTACTTCGATGATTAATTTCCGTTATGTGTGACAAATTATGATGATTATCATTTTCACTTATCAGAAATAACATTCATTATAAAAACAAAATATTAATCATAGATAATAGAAAAATTATTTGGCATTTTCATGTCGTATTATTACGTAATAAATAATAATACACACTATATGGTTAAGTATTTTATTTTTTTATTCAAAATGTTTAATAAAGACATAGTAATAAAATGTGGGTTTCAAACGATTCATTCTAACTATACTTTAACCAATAATAAAGGAAAAAAAATAGCAGAAAGTGGTCATGTTAATTTGGTTACAGAAGTAAAATCTACAATTATGTTTTCTATTATTACTGCTAGTGTCATTAGACAAACATCTGTATCATGTGAACCTTGGAAAGTTAAGCTAGAAGTAAGTGAATTTTGTATTACATTTAATTAGATTATATATGTATATATGATCCAAGATATTAGGCTTTATAGTTAATATTGTTCCATAATAATATAATATAATATTTATATTATTTATAGTTAGATAACGATAGATCTGTAAAGAATGGCTTCTGTGAATGTCCAGCTGGGGCATCAGAAAAATGTAAACATATTGCTGCAGTTATACACTATATAAATAATGAAGAAAGTTTTTCCAAAACCAATTTTCCGCAAAAATGGGGCAAACCAACAAAAATAGGGCAAGAAAAATACAAAAAGGGTAAACGTATCAATGAGCTTTTTTCCCATCAAAAAAAAAAAATTAAAATGGCAAGTATAAATCATCATGACTTAGTAGATAATTATAATATATTGTCAATTCCATGTAGTTTGAATATATTAATAAAAGAAGAATTAATATCTGAAGAAGATAGACAGTGTAATAATTGTTTAAATAATATTATAAATAAACTTGAAAGAGAAGAAATTAGATTAAAAAATGTTCAGTATATAAATAACATTATCAGGTATCAATTGTGTAATATTACATATAATTTACAACCATCAAATTTTCCTTTGAATCAAAATATACACAAAATATATTATAGTGATGTTGTTGTAACACATGACAAAATACAAATAATATTTAATGAAAATATTGAACAGTCACATAGTGATCAGTGGAAGAAATATCGATCAATAAGGATATCAGCTACTAAATGTCACAAAATCAAAACTTGCAGGAATTTGTCTGAAGAGGGTCAAACTCGTATCGCTGAAGTAATTTCTGAAGATTTAAATTTGTTTGGTAAAGCAGCAGTAAATACAGCATATGGATTAAATACTGAAAACGTTGCTTTTGAAGTATACTGTGAGATGTTTAACGTAGTAACAATAAAATGTGGCTTAATTATTCATGCAAAATATCCTTGGCTTTGTGCCTCACCAGATGGTTTGGTACTTTCAAAAGAAGGAGATATTTATAAAGTGTTGGAAATTAAATGTCCAATAAGCTGTAAAAAAAAACCTATTGTTGAAGATGAAACTGGAGTACTCAATTTAAGTTATTTAAAATATGAAAATGGAAAAATAATATTGAAAAAATCTCATCAATATTATACTCAATGTCAAATACTAATGTTTGTGACAGGACTCAGTAGCTGTGACTTATTTATTTACAATAGCATACAACCAGTATTGATATGTATAGAAAAGGATGATAAATTTTTAAGACAGATTCTATTAAAATTGGAATGTTTTTATTTTAAGTTATTTTTGCCAAAACATTGTTCTATTTGAAATAAACAATACACTTGATTTATTATAAATTAAATATAATCATGATATAAAATGAACTGTTAAAAAAAAATATTTACAATAAAAAATATTTAAATTGAAACAAGTTACTAACATTTTATTTTAAACATTGCAATAAGAAATATATTTTAGTAAATAAAAAAACTTATCAAAATAATTACTGTTTTATTATTGGTAATTGTAAATTTGTTAAAACACAGCACATTTGAACTATTTCATCTATATATGGCAGAAGTTCAATAGGTACTTTATTTAATATTCCATGCACCTTTAATCGAGCAAAAAACCTTTCAACATGAATCCTCACACTGGCAATACTAAGCGTTTCTAATACTTCTTCTTCTGTAAACTTACCATGATGTAATATAGGGGGCATGACTAATATTGCATTTTGATTTTCTACATTAGTTTTTATACCAGGAAACCCCTTGTCAGATAAAACTTGATCGCCAGGTTCGAGATTAAATAAAAATCCACAGTCGTTAGTTATGAATGTATCGCTAGATCTTCCTCCATAGCATTTTGAAATGAAAGAAACAGCTCCACTTGGAGTAATTGCAGCTAAAAATTTTACTGTATAGCACCCTTTGTAATGTGAATACATATAAACTCTTTGCTCGATTGTAGGTGGCTGCTGGACTTTGATTTCTGTGCAGTCAATGATACAGCGAGCATTAGGATAATTTTTTAAAAATGCATTAGGCATTGTTTCTTTTATTGTGCTTTTATTAGGCCAAAAAATAAAGTTTTTAGTTTTTAAACTTAATATTTCCAAACATTTGAAAAATATTCTACTAACTGTAGTTCTATGAATACTAAATAAAACACCTATTGCTGCAAATGTTAAACAATGTTTAATTTTTATTAAAAATATCAACAATTTATTTCTGTTATCAATTGAACTGTTAAAAAATTTTAGGAATCATTGAACATAATAAATCAAATACTTTAAATGTTGTGCCAGTCAAATCTTTTAGAGCATTTTCATTTTTAATTGAATAATACCCATGAAATTTGTCACAAGATAAACACGAACTAGTATTAATTGATTCAGGACCACAAGATTTATCAGCCTTCATTATAAATTTGTCTTGAAATTTGTTAGAAGATATAGTATGTTGTGAAATAATTTGAGTACTAACATTGTTTTTATCAAAAAATGAACATTCAAATACAAATTGATTGGTGTTAATTACTTCAAATCCAACTTGAGTACTAATATCACAGGTTGAAAATATGTTATTAGTATGAACTTGACTTGTTTGGCTCGTAGAACATTCATTTGTATCATTAGGATTAAGAACAGCGCTATCACAAATATTTTTTTGACGTTTTAAAATACGATGATATAGAGATTCTTGTTGGGTTGCATCACATATTTTTCTTTTGTACAATTGTGGAAATAAGGAAGGGACATATGACGGACTTCTTTGATCAGAGGATCGATTATTTCCAATAAAATGTGCACTGCAAATCTCACTATAACGGTTAGGGATCCATAATTTTTCATTTTTTCTAAAATACCATAGTTAATCATTAGATTTATAATACAGGTACTCTATTGTATTACAATAAATAATAAGATATTGAAATAATTAATTTGTATAAAAAAAAGTAATAGTACTCACTCAATTCGATTAACAGCCTTGATCCATTTTTCTTTTAATTCCTTTTCATAAGATTTATTAGGAAAACTAAAGAATTATATATTTGTTGTGTTCTTGTAAGTGTTACTACAATTCACCACACAACAAATCTTTTTTGATTTGCTTTGGTTCATTTTAATATGATAATTAAATTTTATATTATTAAATGTATAACTTATATGATTTAAACGTTCATCACGACCACGATTTAAGATATACCTTAATTATTACTTATTAGTGTATTAATTATTAGTACATCTTAATTCGTGATCACGACTCACGGATTAACGAACTTACGGTTATCTCTGTCGTTAGATGATGATAAAATTGATGAAATATGATAATAGCACAATATCTTTTTACCCCCCAATTAATGCAGTTGTTGTCCACCAAGAGCGCTACGTACGCACTTGCACGGTGTCTATTAATATCATTTATATACAAATTCTGTATTGAGAATTGAATGGTCTAACTATACACGTTACAGTCGTGTGATGCAATAGCATATAATAATTATTAAATTAACTCACTTTATTCAGTATGCAGACGATGCAGTAAGATTTCTATCTTCGGTTGACGGAGGTTGATGAAATTGGTAGACTGCTTCGAATAGAAGTGAAAATACGACTGATTTAAAAGTCACTGGTCGATACCCAAGTGTCCAAAATTATTATCACCACCCACCCAAAATCGATCGTCGCGAATTAACGGATCCAGCGATTGATGCACACATATTGTGTGGATAAGAGTTAACCTCCAGGAGATCTCGCGCGTTGTATAGCTAATCGGGATGACGTTTTGCTTTGATCACACGCGGCTGGCGGGTTGACCGTCGTCGTCAGATAATTAGTACCCCGGCTATAAGCCCGTCCAAATGTAGCTAATGAATATGTTTATTTATGTGACAAACATAATAATCACACCCAATCATGTCCATTTAGAAGATATCGTGTATACAGAAACGTCAATTATATATTTATCTACAAATTATTTGTAAAAACGTGTTATGCAATGCGTGACCGTTCGCGTGACCCGCCGACTGTATAGAATCCCAGATGTTAATTATATATATATACAAACACACACATATATTTGTGTAATAAGACGCAATACACGATTATATGATATAATATACATTTATTTCAGAAATATTATTTACAAAAATTAAATTATATATAATATTATTTTCACATATTATTTTTAAACCATTTCAGCAATGTAAAAACTCGATTATATGTACATTGTGAGCGAACTAAATCCTTATGGTATAAACAGCACGGTTGGTGATGTATATTTTCGGCTAACTGCTCGTGAAGACGGTCTAGTCGCGGGCAGTCCAAATCCTCGCCCATCTCTATAATTTTGACGTCGGGAATGAAGTCTTGTATGATCTGTCGTTTTTCTTCGCCTTTCACGTAAATGCAATCGAAATGTAAAGATTTTAAAATCTTTCCAATTTCCGAATACTCCACGTCCCCGCAAACCGGAGACAGTTGATGGTAATTGTGAAACAGCCACATGTTAACAGCATTGACTTTTGTTGTATTTTCACGCGTCCGAGTATGTTTAAAAATCCAATGTTGGCTAGCCCGCCCGTCTATGTCAACTATAGACATTTCTTTTATCAGGTACTTGGAGTAAAAAATAATATACGTATAAATGAGTGATATATTATAAGATATAATATTATAATACAGAATAATATTATATTATAATACGAAATAATATAATATTATAATAGCGTGTAATAATTACCTCTTCAATGTCGGCGGCACCGTCATTGCTTGGGATGTAATCTATTCCGTTATTTTGAATATTGCTCGCCCAACACATGGCCAACTGCTTGTTCGCAACCAATTTGATCTGGTTTATGAAACTGTTCTCACTATTTGGAAATATATTCAATGCGTGAAGATCGTGATGAATATTACTGGTGGCTGTAGAAATTTCTTCTATGGTCGACGATTTGTCGACATAAACATTGGAGCTCAGATATGTGGCTATCTGGTCGAGTTGCACCATAACCGCACAACGCGTAACGTTAGATTTGCATGAAATCGATTCGCTGATGGCCCATTGCAACTCGTAAAGCCTTAATAGATCGCGTCCGCTCAATAGCACGCGGCATCCTTGTTGTTGGTGCGATTCTACGGCTAGCATACTTTCGCCGCGATAAGTAGTTTTATACGGAGTGTTAAACTCATCTTTGAGAAAAAGCCTCTCTCGTCTATTAATCAGCGGACCGGTTATATTTGTGAATATGTACGGCATGAGCGAGAAAATTCGATGTAGAAATACACTTGTTATGCATACATGTCTCGATGGCGTTATAATCTGGACGGTTACGTTGAAAACGTCCGAGGCGTCAAGTCCGATGTTGATGAATTTTCGTCCCGCAAAGTCTATGACAAAGTTTGAGCAGTCAATTAAATCGTTGGGCGGTTGCGACGAACGTTGCATATTTTGGCCCTTGAGAGCGCCGCGAGCCGAAGAGAAGATTTCAATTTTTTCCGTCATTTTAACACCGTTAGAATTAAACGCACTTGACACACTTTAGGCGGTTACAGTGTTACTGATTTGTGAGAAATAATTAACTTGGCGGGTGCAAAATTCTCGCTCAATCAGTTATTCAAAATCACATCAAATTACAGTACATAGCTTAGTGGTGGGGGTAACATTTTATAAAGAGACATTATATATGATAAGACATTTCGTTAAGATTATGTATATATGTATATGTTTTTGATACATATGTATATGTTTTTGATACATATGTATAGGTTTTTAATATATATGTATATGTTTTTATAGATATATGTATATGTTTTTAATATATATATATATAATGTATACGCCGAAAAAACCGCGTCCACCCGATTCGCGGCTAGATGGCGCCTCGGCCGCGGACGTCGGCCGCGCGCGCGTACGCGGAACGCGTCTCGAGCGGGGGGTGAGGTGAGGGCGCGCGCGGTAAACGACGTGGGCGGGGGGTGGGGTGGTCGTGACGTAGCGGTATTGTCGAGGAGTGGGTTTAGGGATGGCGGGCCGCCGGTACCGCGGTACGCGCGGGAGGTGTGGCAGGGAGTGTGGTGTGTACGGGGGCTTGGTACACGTGACGAGCGGGTGGAGAGGTGGTGCTTGGGGGCTCATGTCGTATGTTAAGGTGGAGGGGCGGTAGCGCAGCCTAGCTCAGTATAGACAGAGACGGGTAGGAGGGGTAGCGCTGTATAGCCGGATGGGGTGGTGGAGCCAGGCATAGGTAAGGGGGGTGGTACAGAGGGCTCATGACGTAGAGCGGCTAAGTATAGACGGAAGCGGGGCGGGGATAGCGCATATGACGTAGGGTAGCTCAGTATAGGCGAGTGGGTGGGAGGTTGGTACATGACGTAGGTTAGGCGGGAGGTGGGTGGTACATGGGGGCTCATGACGTAGAGCGGCTAGGTATAGATGGAAGCGGGGCGGGGGGTAGCGCAGACTAGCGCAGACTAGGGCAGTAAGCCGGGAGCGGGGCGGGGGGGTAGCGCAGACTAGCGCAGTATAGGTGGGGGGGGGTCCAGAACCGGTTATTTCATACTACTAAGGCTGGGGCCACACGGACGCACTACGTACGCGCGTTGCGACGGACGTACTATTTAACGCGCGCACTAGAGCGGGCACACGAGCGTCAATATGACGTCCGTTAAAAATGTGTTATCATTGATTTTGTATCTTATCTAGTATTTACTTGTTTGTAAAGTTGTAAAGACGTATTGCGTACTGTTTTCACAAAGTTTTTTTTTAAATATGGACTCAGACGAAGTTTTTTCCTTTAGTTCTTTAACCTATTTATACCTAAAACAAAAACGGACTAAAAGGGAACATTGGGTTCATCCAATAAATTGTGAACGATATACAAATGGGCATTACGTGAAGTAGTACTATAAACTTCGAGAAGATTCGTCAAAATTTTTTAACTACTTCCGAATGTCTGTAAGATCATTCGATGAACTTTTACTGTGCATAAAAAATGATATTCAGCTACAAAATACCAATATGCGATTAGCTATACAGCCCGAAGAAATGTTGGTGATAACTTTGAGGTATGTAGGTATTTTTGTAATAATACTGTTCGCGCACCGTCGCGGAGCTATTGAATCAATCTCGCTAGCTGGCCGCAACGACACTCGCGGCGCATTTGTCGCCAAGGAAGAATAGATTTACTTAGGTGTGCAATAGGAGTAGGTACTTATACGACTAATATGAAAAAGAATATAACGCAAATTACAAAGTGTGCGCTAGGGCACGAAACTAAACTTATTATTGTTTAGGTATAAACAATTAGTAGGTACAATAAATGTATATATGGTAGGGGGATGTGATCACACCTTAACAACGACCTGCCAAAGACCGGGAATAGCGATAGATAAATACATAAGTAAAATAACATAGATAATAATGAACAATAACAAAAAGGTTCTTATCTGGCTCCGTGATAACGGGAAGAGCTGACGCCTGGATCGAGAACGGCGGCCCACAATAGTTTCGCCACGAACAGCCTGAATGATACAGCGTAGCGGCGGCAGTGAAGTGGTACCACTGGCTGATGGTGCGCTTCTGCACTAACGATAAGGTGACGAACTGACGACTCACGCCTCACGGTGATGGCGGTAACCTCAACGCGACCGGCCAAAACAAAAGCGGGGGTGGTACAACAACCACGGCGTGAGGTCGACGACCCGCGGTGAGACGGTACAGCACGCGGTACACGCGCGAACGGTATACGTGACAACCCGGCGGAAACAGCGTCGGGCGGCACGACTAACGGCCGTTACAAACAGACGGACGCGACCACGTGACGCGTGAATAGCGTTGCGACGCAAAACGGTCGGCGACGGCTCAAAACAAACAAAAACGACCGGGTGTACGGTTGGCGTTGCGACGCAAGCGGTCAGCAACGGATCACAAAAAAAGCGAGGAAGAAAGACAGAAGTCCAGAGCGGGCTTGTCTCGAACAGCACGTACGGGCGCACACGGTTGCCGCTGCACGTAACGGAAAAAAAAAACGTCGCACACTGCGGATCACGTCGAACAGACGCTGGAAGACTGGCGGCGGAACAAACAAACGCCGACGACCCGAGGAGGGGATGCCGGTGCAAAACGGATGGGAGGGAGGGGGAACAGTCACCACGAATGTTCGCGAAGGTTCTTTATGGCGACATAAGTTCCCAATGCCCAAACAAATACAATTAATTATTTGCTAATGACTGACAATAA